TCCGCAGGCGATACAGGATGATATGATAGTGATACGGGACGGGAGTGTTATTGGCGGTTACGGAAGTGGTAGGAGCTAAAAGTGACAAAGTGACATGGGAAAATCCGCTTCATCGCTCACAACAACAATGCGTTCGATATGACCAAGTGTAACGATCTCAATAGTCCAAACACAAACTCATTCCTCGCTGCTTATTAGTAACGACATCATGTACGACCGCTAAGCTAGCTCTATTCCAAATGCACGGGTTTGTTTACAGAGATGTTATAGAACAGCATCAATTCACTTAATCACGCTTACCACAATTATCTTCCATCAACAACCTTAGTGAGGGCCATTTAACGCCTACTGCGGGCGAGGCTGCTCATTCCAAAGCAAGAGCTTTAAGGCGACAGAATGCTGTTGTGTGTGGAGCGTGCGTCAAGGTAAGCGGGGCCAGGGGTCAAAAATTCTTCAAGCGATTCCAGAGCACTCCAGGCACTTCGGACCTCTATGTGACACGGCCCGGCTTTGCGGGGCGTGGCTCCATCGCGCCTACCTACATTCGTACGATCAAATGCTCGACTAATACCCGGCTTTTCCCTCATCTGTCCACTTGATCAACACTCCTTACCCCCACTCCATACACCGTAAAAGGTTGAAAGGAGCAGGTATGATGCTATTGGTCAAAGAATGTTGACCACCTGTTCGGGTAAAAGAAGAGCCTGATACTAGGCGGCTAATGAAATGTGTGGAAGAAGGTAAGCGCGGCGGAGCCGCGCAGTATCCTAGGAGGCGCGCCGGAGTCAGCCGGCAAAGCCGGCTGGTGGAAGATAATCAGGTCGGTCAAATATTTTAGTTGCTACAATTCATGCGCAACTGAGTAAACAACCGTCATGCATCTGAACTTCAGCTTCGCTTAGCGGCACCACCTGACATTGATGCTCGATAGCGAGTAAGAGCAATAGAGGTGGAGTGTGTACGAACCTACTGAAAGCCTGCATACCTGCCTATCAATCGCATTGCAGTAAGCGGTCTGCGGATTCCCGCATGATGACGCTTTCAACCCTTATCAGTTGCTGTCACTTAGTGTCACCCGTCAGTGGGTTCCCGCCCTGCCTCCCCTATACCACTTCTTTGAACCCCAAGCCACGAGACCCTGCAGACCTGCCCCTACAAAGCCCTACAAAGGCCACATCTACAGGCCCTTATTCGAGATCTAATCAGATGTTATCAGTCTGGTCACCACACCAATCATGTCCACTTCCCTTACCCTACACCACATTTTAAAATCAAGGTCCCTCGGTCGCTGCAACCTGCGCCTAAGTATTAGGTGATACCCGCGTCTCCCTTATCCGATCTTATTAAATATTATCAGCTCCTATCAGCCACCACCCTACCGTGTATATCACTTCTTGAAATCACGGTCCCGCAGCTCCTGCAAATTGCCACGAACTCGGTCACCCTCCCTTTCTAAAGCTCCCTACTCAAACATATCAGCGTTCTCGCAGCCTCCTGTCACCGCCGAATGCGTCCCGTCTGCTTGTATTTCACTTCTTGGAATTAAGGTCCGAACTGCTGCAACTCGCGCTTAGCGATCTCTGATCACCTTCCCTTCTAAGGCTCCTTATCAAGTTTTATCAGGTGTTATCACTTCCTGTCAACCCACAAAAGTGTTCCCGTCCTGCCGTGTATATCACTTCTTGAAAACTGTCATCCTATCTTTTCTGCGACGCTCGCTATGAATTTCGTGACAGACAGACAGACGCACACACAGACACACACACGGACATAGCTGATTATATATAGTAGGATCCTTCTACAAGTTGGATCGCCCGGCTCACGCCTAGCTCTCCTCCTTCTTTCCAGCCCGGCTTCGCCGGGATGGCCTGGCTTCGGCGCACTTCCCCCATAAATCTGTTCATTCACTGAGCTGCTCGTATTTCGCTGTATTGACCAAATCGTAACAGATCGAGGAACCAGCGGATTCTGCATTGCTGAGTCCACCCTTCTGGTAGCAAAAGGAATCGTGGTTTGGGCATTCATAACGTGCATTCTTTACCCAGATGACTACAGTCGTCATCCTCACTTGATAGTCAATGTCAGTGCGGCTGCGTGCGGCGCGGTCGCCCGCACCCGTACTGCACCAATCGTTGAACCAGGAAGTGACATTACTGTATTATATCCTTCGTGTTACTCGTTTTCTATCACTTTTTGTCGCATACGCGTTTCAACGAAAAGGCTGAGAAGGCTTCAAACAGTGTGCACGCTCCTTCTCGCCGACACGCCCCTATCAAGTGCAAGGATGACGACTGTACATATAGCAGTAAAATTAGGAAGGTTTCAGTCGTTTTATAGAACTCAATGTGAATCGAGTAAGAGCACAAACCTCGCTTCCATTACTTGCATCCAAACTCCTACCGATCAGCTCCTACCTCTTATATCAGGGGGTGACAGGGCAGTTCGATGGCCTGACTTTAGTCGAGCGCACCCCCCTGATACCAAAACTTATGAAGTTTCTCCCCCTCCCCCCGAGGAGGAAGAAACTTCATAAGTTTATGTATAAGTAAGCGCGAAAAATGGAAACAGTAACAATCCTGAACGCAGGCCCCCTCGCTTGGGCTTCATTTTTCTTATCCTGATGGCAGAAAAGAGAATAGAAAATGAAAGGAAATTAGGTACCCTACCTTTCCTCGAGTCAAAACAAACTCTGGTACCTGAATCAATTGCAATTAAAAGAAAAAAAAACAGGAAATTAAGCCAACTTCTCCTAAAAGCACTCTGAGCGGTCCAAGCAAAATTGCTTGCGGCTCTGACGCGTATTCGAGTAAACTGAGAAGAAGATAAATATTCGATATTCGAGTAAACCGAGAAGAAGATAAATATTCGATATTCGAATAAACCGAGAAGAAGATAAACACGAAAGAGTAAATACGAACGAGAGCAAACCAGCCGCAATCAGCTGATTAAAGGCCGAGGTACCGGGGGAGATCTGGCAGGACAGCCATGTGGAACGCGAGTTTTCAGCAAAGTGGGGTGTCCTTGAAGGACCATAACTTCCTCAAAAGCGGACCTGTGGGGAAGAGGAGACCGTATTCGTGTAGAGGAAGGTTTGCACTTCCTAAAAGTACTGAAACGTTTATGAAGGTCGCAAAAATCACAGAGAAATCTGCCATGGGGTGTTGGGAGGTGATTCAACTGAACACGGTTGAACCAATATTCATTTTTTTTGTAACTCAGCATTTCGACCATAATCTGAGAACAACTTGCTAGTGTTTTGAAAGATTTTCTCTTTCTTAAAAACCTCTTGAACTGTTTCTGAAGCTCTCGGGATTCATGAGATCTCGCGATGGGGATTTCTTGAGGAACACTCCCAGCTGCGCGAAAAAACCCGTTTCCTGTGTACCGAGTGAGCGTGTCGAATAACCAGGAACGCATGAAAAACGTATCCTGTGGTGGAGCAGGAGCAGAATATGGTTCGTTTAGCGCCGATCACGCTGACTTTGGATGCGCCGCGCACTGAGGTCCGCGCAGAAGTGATGGGATGGTGCAACTTGTGCGCAATGTCTGTCCACGCGAGCAAATGTGTCTATAGGATTCAGGGAGGTCCATGGCGAACCTGTGCACTTGTTTACAGTGTTTTCCGTTGCGTATGATGGAGCGTGTCCCTGTCGACGCCGCCAGATTCGTGCTCCGCCAATGATTCCGATAAAGGAGACCAACTGCTGGAAAACGTCTGATACGAACGATATGGTAGTCCTGTCGTTTGTCGAAAAAAACAGGTTGGCTCAGCGCCAAGCGCGATCGCGGACACGCCCCATCATCCGCAGCGAACCAGAGTATGAGTTGTACTGTTTACTTACGAGATGATGTCGACTTATTAATATTTCCAGTTATTTCGGATTAGTTTGATGAATGAAAGTTTTGTACTATTTTTTTACATATCCGAGTTCTCTACAAAGCAAGTTTCGCTGTACAGGACTCAGCACACTGACGCTCGTTACTGGCTACCGCACTCATTACGACCCCCCTCTCCTGGCGGCCAAATACGACCCCCACTCACCTGGCGGCCAAATACGCCCCCCCCCCCCTGTTGGGGATTCCCCAACCAACGATGACGGGAGGGAGGAGCGTGTATATTATGCGCCTGAAACGGGAAAAAGCAGCAAACTCTGTGAAAGCCAAATACACCTCTACTTGCGTTTCAAACAGGGAAAATGCTTCTGGAAGGTTGGTCGTAATCAGACCTGAAGAAGAAAGGGGAAGGGCTCATCCGAAGATATTGCTAACTTTATCCCGTTGTGATGCTCCCTTGTCATGCATTATAACGACCACCATCGAATGTCGTATTTTTGTCGAGAAGGTCAAGTTAAGGACAGAAATAATGGACAGGGATAAGATGTTTGTCACTTATGACTGATATAAGGGTGCTTTCAACTTCCGTTCTGCGTTTGCTTTTAGTATCGCTTAATTGAGACAATTCTCACATTCCTACTCGTTCGAAAGATAGTGCTCGGGAAAACAAGGCCAAGCACACAAGAAGGGGGAGCACCCGACGACAGCTGGACGATCCGACGTGCTTTCATATACTAATATAATAAGATTATATATTATTATATAAAAAAGATTATATCGATTATCCTGCGATCGGCCGCCAGTTGCTCTAATAGCCGCATTTCCGATTCATTTCCGTTTCTGCAACTGGGTGGGATCTGCATGTATTCACCTAATGGATTCTCCGATTCTTGAGACCGATACCTACGCTCTCTTTCCCTGGGATCACCGATTCTGCAGTCTGAAATCGTTGCCTGGAAAGCAGGGGGCGCGCCAAAAACGAAGACACAGTAGCTGGACTAACTCGGTCCGATGGTGAACGGGAGAGGACCAAGGAAAGACATCAAAGAAATAACATAACTAAGTTCTTCTTGTAACTTCTATAGCGACTTCGAAAGACGTAAATAGAACCTAGTTTTCCGGCGTCTGATATAGTTGAATTTCAGGTGTTTAATCATGAATATTACATGTTTAAAATGCTTGCTAGATCATATCCTTCCTCTACTGATCGGATACATTATCCAGCCATATTAGGACAGGGCTGTCTGTCAGAATTGCGATACTTGAACGTACGTCATGCATAAACGTTGTAAATTTGTATGAAGTATTGCATGACATTGTGAAGTTTTCTGTCAGAGTACTACACTCGTGCAGTTTTAGCTAAACGACAACAGTGCCAGACGTCATGATATTGCTGAGGCTGCGAAGGTGCCCCGGCCTTACTTCATACTAGAATCATTTGAACCATCTCTCGAAACCCTTTTCAAGTCAAACCGGACCAAATCGCTCTCGGTGCATGTTTCGGTGTTTGTCACTATAGGATGCATAAAGGTGAGCCAGGTTTCACAGCAATGGAAGTGTGGAAGGAAATGAACTACTTCCAGGCTCTGAGGCTATTGCACATGAAAGGATTTGCTCATCGGAATGTTCAACCGGCTTACTTCTCAATCCGCTTTCCATGCGGCGGACTACTCTGCAGGTTGTCAATCCTCTCTCACTGCGTGTGTAGCTATTGGACGATACAATCTTATCTGCCTCCATAATAATGCAACTTTTACCAATAGCTATTCCGACCTGTGGAAGAACGAGCTCTGACTGAGAAGCAATTCAGGAGGAAAAGTGACCCATCAACGTCAGCCTCTCGCCCGGCGTGAGTGAGAGACGACGCGCCGCATCCGAATCCGCCAGCTACATTTTCATGCGTGCATTTCACTAGATGGTGTGAGAGGAAGGAAATGACGAGACGGATGACTATAAAGCATAACAAAACAAACTTATTTACATAACCATAAGTAGTATAATAAGTAAATCCAGCAGAAATATGCTTGTAGACACATTGGAGAAGCTTTTCCCTTTGAGTCAAAACCGGGCACAATAGCCTCAACTGTCTTGTAGCCACAAAACGTTAACGTACGCGTGAGGTCACGGGTCTCCGACCGCTTCATCTCCCATGTTTCCTGAGTTCAGGGTGGTCACTCTCTTTGACTGACGACCTGGCTATCAAATGCACGGAGTTTCATGAATTATCCTTTTCGGGGGAAAGTCAAATTCAGGTTCCACCATGATAAGTCCATGATGAAGTCTGATAAAGAAATATGAGCGAGCTACGAAGAAGATTTAACATAGTCACCCATGCCACTACGTAAAGTCACGCTTCTGTAAGCAGACAAAAGAACTGAGCCCTGTGTGATACTGTGCACGCTTGTCTAGCAACTGCAATCTCTGGAAACAGGGCACATCGATCGGTTGGGGATTTTAGTCGAGTCGGTTTTAGTTTTTTCCCCAACTTCCTACCACTTTTTTCCAAAATTTCCCAAAAAGTTCCCTACTTTTCCCCAAAAATTTTGCTGTCGAGCGGGGGGGGGGGGGGGGGCATATAGTACGCATGAAACAGGAAAATCACCAAAAACCACCACTCCTACAACGCCAAAACGTAAATACGACCCTCCTCCCAACAATGGGCAAGTACGACCCGTCCCCCTTTACAACGTCCGTGAAGCTGTAAGCGCGCAGTTGGCACCACGTGGAAATGAAGTCTGCACCCACGCCCTTTACATCTCTGAGATATGGAGTGTATATCTCAATCACGTTTACTATAACACCATCTCGTGAGGCCACATTCTCCTCCAACTACTTTTTTATAGT